CCCGATACCCGATACCAGTATCGGTATCGCTGCATCCCTAATTGTCACTTTTCACTGACTTTACTTCCCAGGTTTGGCTCCCGGTAACTTAATCCTCCGGCTGAAATGATATTCAGGTTTAGGGGTTGCCTTGGTTACATGGGACACTTTCAGCTGATGGGTTTGTACAAGTGGTCGCAACAAAACTTTCAGGCGACCTAAATAAGCAGGAGCACTCTGTTGAAGGGGATCCACCAGTGTTTCTTCTGCTTATTCAGTTCAGGAAATAGAGGTCAAATTTCATCAAACAAGGTTTATGCTTTTTATGGAGTCGAGGAACTTTTTCCATCGTGCCCTGTTTGTGTGTACTTTGTGTGTGTGCATGTCATGCACATCTTTTGAGGGGACACTCATTCATCTGTTTGAAATCCCAACTTAAACTTAATTCAAAGTAACCTTCAAGTAGAAGTAGCCTTTAGCGAGGAGTGGAAAAACATGTCCTTGTACTTAAAATTGGTGCTCGCAGAGACAGGAGACCTGCAGCAGGCATGCTCACACAGCGTGATTCCTCGCTGTGTATGTGTTAGTTTAGTGATGGTGTGAAGGATCATGTCTCCTGTCTGCTGTGTAACTCAGATCAGCTTTTATAGGTCAGCGCACTCTAGGAGGAACACACACATCACACCACACACTTACCATCCTGTCCTGCTTCTTCTTACTCTCGCTGACACGCTGTCCTCTCCTCACACCTATAGTCCTCTCACTTGCTTTTCTTTTTCAAACCTGTAGGGAAAGAAAGCCACAAGGAAGGCTTTTTTGCTTTTTTGAAATTTCCACAAACACACAGCCTTCTTTGTGCTAAGATTACCTTGTTTTTTGTTTTTTTTTAATGCCCTCTGGATACACGAGGATTAAATCTCAACTTTTGTTTGTTTGAGAGCATGAAACTGATGCAAGACTTTAGAGCTGTTGCTATTTTCCAACATTTTTTCTGTAATTTAAATGATTAAATTCAAAGTTATTGTGACTCTTTTCTGTGTTTCAGATCTACCCTCTGTGTCCATTGAGGGATACGACCACAACTGGTACGTCGGCCGTTCTGATGCCACGCTGGTCTGCCTGGCTAACGCTAACCCCGAGCCCACAACGATCACCTGGACTGCGTAAGAGTCACACTTAATCCATCAGGATATCTGGGATGCTTTTTGTCTTATTGCCTTCTGCTTTTATTTACATTTTACTCCTAACCTTCTTGTAAATTGGGTTTTAGTTGTAATCCCTGCAGAAATGTGCCTGACAATCTTCTTTTTTGCTGTAATGGTAATTAAGGGCAAAGGTGTATGAGACAGGTGGGGTTTTTTGAAGGCCTGTTTGCCTGGTTGTTTATCAGCAACATTACACAGAAACTTCTCCGAGAGGAAGAATATGGGCAAAGGAAAAACCCACTAAATTATGTACAGATCTGGAACTTTTTCATTAAAATCACAAAACTGGGGCACTGGCCTTGGCAGAGGATGTTTCTTTGCCATGCTTTGGCAAAAGATTTTTTTTAAGTAGACATTCAAATGCATTTGTGTTTTTTAAAAAAGAAAAAGAAAAATGTCGTTCTGATGGACAGATGGCTCGCTTTCTCTTTATGAATATTGAGCAGGGAGACAGAATGGCTGTTCGCATGATTTTTCACACATTACTGCCATCTTTGAATATTGCAGCAACAAACCATGTTCCTCAAACCACATTTTCTGTCTTTTCCTTTATTCTCCTTCTTTCTTTCGTGATTTTGTCTTTTCAATTTCCCCCCTCATGTTATTTATCCAATTTCTCCAAATATATGACCTCGTCACTGCTTCATTTTCGTCCCCGCCGTCTCGTCTTGTCTTTTCTTGTTATCCCTGATTTACACGATGACTTACCTCTCCTGCATTACTTCTTCATTACTTTGTTCCATACCTCTCTGCTCTGATCCTTTGCGATCTCGCCAAAAAACCTGTACTCACGACCTCACTTTTATGTCCTCCCCGCTTCGCCTTCCTTCTCATCTTTTCCCCATCAACAGGGCTTCTGGTCCTTTGCCAGAAACAGTGGTGGTGGAAGGCAACAAGCTGACAGTGAGGAAGGTGGATGATGCTGTCAACACCACCTTCATCTGCGAGGTCAAGAATAGGCTCGGATCCAGCAGGAACCAAATCACCACTGTTGTCATTGGTGAGTCTATTAACACAGTGACAGCACACACACACAAACAAGCACACACGCCTTGTATATGTGTGGACGTTTGCACAAATGAAATGGAAATCCATGTATATTTACCAGTCAATATGATGAATACACACTGGTGACCCAACACAATACTCCATCACACCCAACAGGAATACAGCAAACAGCATGCGATCACTGCTTGCACACACATACACTCACACACACACACACACACACTCTGAGCCATGCTAGTTCCCTGACAATATTCCACATTGTCCCAGTGCACACATGCATGCACATATAGTCTCACACGCCTCTTCCGGTGGTTGGATACACTTGCAGACATGCATGCACAGAAACATAATTTTCTCTCTCACACATGCACACATTCTGGGATCAGAGCTGATCTGAGAGCTGCAGGGATGCTAATCTCTCTCAGTCTTCACATCGGATTGTTTTTTTTTTTAATGTTTTCCTCCTCACTGGCCAAATTTTAGCGAGGCACAGCGGAGACCTTTGATTGACACTTTCCCCACAGCAGGGCCAAAATGCAAGACGAGGGCCGGTGTTTATAACCTCCGATCGAAAGCACTCTCTTGAAACTGAACTTTGCACGGCTACACTGCAGCGGGAATCTGTAGCTCTGCTGGATGCAAATTCAAAGTGAATTGTGGTGTATGATAGGCCCTTCTACGAGAGTTTTGGCCCTGCAGTGGATGCAGCGGTGCTGGGATTGTTGGACGATTTCCAGATTCTTTCAAGGGGTTCAAGTTGGTGTGAGCCAGTTTGCCCAGGTTTGCTTTTCTTCTTGTTTTTCTCTTTTTGTTTAGTTTTTTCTTACCTTTTCCTTTCATTGCTTTTATTTTTTTTGACTAACACTTACTAAACAAGGGAACTGAGTTGTTCACATTTTCTTTCCTCTTTCACCTTTGAATCTCTCCTTCTGGTAACAGTATAATGGTTGTGTCTGCATGCAGTCTTGATCTTTCTGCTGGGTCTTGACTTTTGACATTTACCAGTGAGATGATTTGGTCACTGTTGCCACGACTTTCGGTCACGGTTTCTCC